AAAAAACGGTGAAAATAGCCATTGGAGATCCCAATAGTTATATTATTTGGGTGGACTGGCATGTTTTGGCTCCGTGCCGGCTGCCATCCAGGCTGGCATGGGTCAATTTTTCATGCCATGTCGTGTTGGCCCGTGGGCCTCAAAACCCCCTGCCAGGCATAGCCCAGGGGTTTGGGCAAGCACTGCCCGGTTACTAGCGGGGTTGTGCTGGGCTATGCTGGTGCGTGGGCAGGCTGACCCACATTACAGTTGTATGATAATGTAGTATAGGCATCCAGGTATTATAGCTTAGAAATGAGAATATAGGCATGTAAGCTCAAAGTAGACAAATTTAGCAACTCCTTAGGTTTAGATATTTGGCATAAAATCATCTTTCATTCCCATTAAAATTTATACTGATTGGTTATAGCATAACTTTGATGGTGGCTATCATGTCAAATAAGAAAAAAGGAAAAAGAATGAAATGAAAAGGAAGTAAAATGAATATGAAAATGAATGAAGTGCTCATAAAGATAGGTAGGCTGGACAGGCTGGAGGATGAAGGTAATGTGCCCTTGGCTGCTAAGATGGAAAGAGAGAGACTAAAAAGTGAACCGGAAAGAATAGTTCAGAGGGAGGAGGTGAACTGGAGGTAGAAATCTAGGGCTTTCTGGTTGAGAGCTGGTGACAAGAATACAGTTTTTTTTTTCACGCCTATGCTAATGCCAGATGCAGGAGAAACACAATTTCTAGAATTAAAGTGGGTAATGATGTGACAGAAAGTTGGCCAGAAATCCAAGACGAAGTGGTGGTATTTTACAAATGTTTATATTCATCTAGGCAGAGGAGTTAAGTGGCATTAGGGGGAATGAGCCTAAGAAACTAAGTGAGTTTTCTGCCCTGTGGCTTGAGAGAGAGTTTGAGGTGTCTGAAGTTAAGGAGGTGTTAAAGGGAATTATAGGAGATAAAGCATCGGGACTGGATGGGTTCAATTTCTCCTTTATTAAATATTGCTGGAACATGCTAGAGGAAGACTTAATGCTAATGTTCAAAGAGCTTTTTTGATTCTAAGTTGCCGGATAAATTGGCTAATGCTTCATTTATCTCACTAATTCCTAAGAAGGATGTGGCTCTCGACATTAAAGATTTCTGCCCTATAAGTCTAATTTGCAGTCCTTATAAGCTTGCAAAAAAGTTTTGTAAGAAGGTTGAGAGGGGTGATCCATGAAGTAGTGGGCGAGACAAATGACATTTGTGGAAGGAAGGCAAAACCTGGATGATGTTCTTGTTGCTAGTGAATGTATTGATTTAAATCCTCTGTGTATAGGGCTTCATCCATGTCCTTAGAGCAGTGTTCTTTTCCCAAGTGTTGTGCAACCCTTGTAGACACTGGTTGAATTTTTGTGGGCAGCATAGCTTCTTGGCCATAAACTAGTTTATAAGGGTAGGTTCCCGTTGCTTCTCTTTTAGAGGTTCTGTATGCCCAGAGTGTATTTGACAGTTGATCTGCCCAATTTGTCTGATGTTCATTTACTACTTTCTTCAACATCCTTATTATTGTTTTATTTGTGGTCTTGGTATGACCATTGCCCTAAGTAGAATGTCCTAGTCTAGTAGCATAATGGTCTAAGAGGTATGGCACTGTTGAGTTTTTGAAGGACAATGTATTGTCTACCAATACTCTCATGGTTACTCCAAACCTGTGGATGATGTTTTGCCCAAGGTTCAAAGTTTTTATAGAGTCCGATACACCAAATTGGGTGTATCAGACTTTGTATCAACACTCTTAGTTTTTTTTTTTTTCAAAATATGTTCACGGGGTCGGTTAAAGGCCTGGTTACCCCCTGAAACAAGTCTTACTCTGGAACTCTTTATATCAGTGTTTTAAAAGGCACGGGAGGCGCACTCCTGGAGGCACACCTCCAGGTGAGGCACTCCCAAAATGCCTTGAGGCGTATGCCAGAGGCGCTGACACCTCTGAGGTGTATGCCTCATACGCTTTGTTCACGAGGCGTGCTAGAGGCATATGCCTCATGCACCTCATGCACACCTCATATAAAAAGACAGAAAAAAAAGAAAAAAGAAAAAAGGAATGGAAAGGAAAAGAAAAGAAAGGGAAGGGAATGAAAAAGAAAGAGAAGAAAAAAAGAGAAAAGGAAAGAAAAGAAAAGGGAAGGGAAGGGAAGAAAAGATAAGGGGAAAGAAAGTGGTTTGCCTCCAGCCCCTTCAACTAGTGCTATGCATCTTTGTTCTTTTCTTTTTTTTTTGATCAATAACAATATTTCATTAATTAATCACAGAAGTGATTACATGGAGGAAGATAAACTTTCTTATCTTCCATCTGAAACTTGAGCCCTCAAGAAGAGAAAAAAGAAAAAATTACACTTGTGCCCAAAACATTGACAACCTCTCGATCCCTTGCTTAGCTAACCCAACAGCAAAAGAGTTAGCTGATCTTGACTTCCATCTCTTGAACCAGCCACCAAAATTTCCTCCTCTCATTATTGTACATCCATAACCTGCTATTTTCTTTATTCAGCCACCCTACCACCACCTCCGAGTCCCCTTCAATTATGAGTTTTTTTATATTCATCTCCTTTGCTCTTTGGACTCCTTCCAAAGCTGCAAAGATCTTGGCCCTAAGAGAGTCACCCACTCCAATTGGGCCTGAGAACAGGGCTAAAACAAGCCCATTCTCATCCCTAAACACACCCCCAATCCCTGAGTGTCTAGGATTCCCCCAACTACTCCCATCAAAGTTTAGTTTTAAAAAACCAGCAGGTGGAGGGGTCCAAGACACACTCAATACTGTTTTGGTCTAGGTGCAGTTAGCAATCTCACCCCACTTCCTCAACAAGTCAT